TTTTGGTGAACACCTTTCTCTGCACCCTTGAACACTGGCACCAATCCAGCTTCTTGTGAAACATAAAGCAACAAGAGCTTGTGAAGAACATCTGTCTCCACAAAAACAAAAACAAAAAAGGAAAGTTCTGGATTTGGTGAGCTGAACCAGATACAAGAATGTGAGTATAAGGACGTTGTCCAGCTTTGAGACTCCCTGGTCCCAGCAGGTACCAGCAGCCCAGGCTGTGATGCAGGCTAAAGAGGCTTGAAATCCACAGTGTCTTGGATCCACACCCAGATCCATGCACCCAGATGCATGTTCAAATGGGGCAACTTTGTTTGAATGTACTTTGCAGAATATGACTTTTAATTTCTGGCCATTATCTGCACCACAGCATTTCACCCTGGAACGCAGCCAAGGGTGGAAACTTGCCTTGTTTGCCCTTGCACAGCAAATTGGACAGGTCAGTGGTCAGAACAAGGGTTATGGCTAGTGTATGGCAGCTAAAAGAACCTGCTGTATTTCAGGATGCATGTACCTTGCAGCAGCAGCTGCAGATGACAGTACTTTAATGCAGATCACTTCACAGGTACAGGTTTTATAACTTTCTGGGCAAAATGCAAAGTGATACTGATAGTGTTGTTAAGGTTCCTATGCTGACTCATCTGAAAAATTGGTTTTAATTCAGGACATCCCTAGCCCTCCTCTCTATGATTGGAGCCATCTTCCAAGGCTTTGCAGCCACTGAGTATGCAGCAGCCCCTGGTGTGAGGTCCTGCGTCATACACTGTCACACACCAGGGATGCCATCAGGGCTTGCCCAGCTGTGCACTGCACTGGGATGGAGCACTTTGTGTGACTGCATCGCTTTGCTCAGGACTCACGTGCTTTCCCTAACTGGGGATGATGGAGGGACTGCTGTGCTTCCATCCCACTGGTGAACTGCTGGATAAGGTACACATGGCCATATTCCTCCATCACCTACATGTTAATCAGGATATTCCCAGCCAGGTGATGGGATATAGGTGCACAAATTTACACTTCTCCCCAAGTCCTCACCAAGAGTTTCTGTAGCTTTCATTACCACGCACCAGACATTTCTTGCATGGCTTTTTACTGTGCAGTGCCTTGTCTGTTTCACTGCTAAATCATCATCACACGGGTATAGTCAGTAGATGTTATATAGCTCAAAAAAACAGATTTATATAGAAAATATTTAATAGTCATAAATATTTAAATATTTAATAGGTGCTTGTGAGAGCTGTCACTTTAGAAGAAATCAGCCCAGAGACATGCTCAAAGATAATGGCTGCTTCAAGTCAAAGATCAACTTCTGAATATTTTCAACTGCTGTACATTATATAATGAACCACTTTTTCTTAAGAGACCAGGGACAATTTTAACATACACCAGAGGGCTGAAAAACTAGTTGTTCTCCTGGTGGGCATGTCAGCAATGAATACTAGATTGAGGAAACCAAAGGGAAATAGGAAAGATGGCAAAAAATTTCACAGAAGATTTACAGTGAGTCCCAAATGTGGAATTTTCCAGGGACAGAGAATGAAAAACCATTCCCGTTCATCTGATTTGAAATAAACGTAACAAGGCTGCCACCATATGGTGGGTTTTTTTGGCCTACAGATTTCAACAGAATAATTCTGCTGGTCAAGCTTGTCCCTTTTCTTCTGGAAATAAGTGGTAAAAATATCATAGCCTTCACTCTTTAAATAGGAAAAGCCTGGCTTTTCCTAACTTTGGCCTTATTAAATCAGATCTAGCCTCACAAAACATGGCTAAATCTTTACAGATTAAGCTGATTGTGTGTCGGTGAACCTATTTTTTAAAGCATATGAAATGTGTATAAATCATATTACAAATATGTGTATGTACATGCATTATATTTAAACATGAGATTACATATTTAATATATCCATGCATACATATACACACATATATACAATATAAAAAAAAATAATTTTGTTACTTGTTAAAAGACAAAATGTCCATAGGTCCATACTGATATGCTAATCCTGCAAAACCAATATTACCTTCTCATCAGGTGTGGGGGAGAACATTTTTTCTTCCATAGGATGCCTTGAATAGTCATAAGGATAGGTAACAACAAGTTCACCTCCATGGAGACTGGCAGAGAGCACAAATGGGATAGACCTCAACCACTTCATGACTGCTTTTGTCTCAGGGGCCACCTGAAATCCAAGAGAAAAAAAATTCTGTGAGCAGTCACGCAGCTCCAAAGGGGTTTGATGGAGTTCAGCAGAGAAAAGAGGGTGTCAGACAGGAGAACCATGAGGCTTTTGGACTCTTCCATCCCAAAGGTTAGTGGGGGAAGAGTATCACTTTGCTCCAGGGAAGAGATGAGACACACTGTTTACTGTGGAAAAATTGGGGGGGAAAAAAAAAAAAAAGTAAACAGAACCTTTGACAGAATAATAACTTTTAATTACAGTGACATTTTCAGCAGTTCAAAGTGATGATGGCAGTAGTTTAGACTTGAAAAATTGTGGTGTTGTAGCACTACTTGCAAACCAAACTCCTTACATAATTTAATTTCTGAATCAGCAGGATTGACTTTGGATGAAAACACTGGGATACAGGGATCAATTTGTAATCCTCAGCGCCTGTTGGAAACACATTATCTCATTTGCTATCTTTTGGCCCAGGTTCATCAGCAAATAAATGAAAACTAATGCATACAAAGCACAGCAACAACTGCAGTTTACCTGCAGTGAACTGCTGCAGGTAGGTCCCTAAATTTGTCTTTCTGACATTCCATGCTCAGCAACAGCTGCCAAGAGAGCGGCCACTGAACTCCCACAGATACTCAGGTACCCACCTACCCCCGGTATGCCGGAGGCTTCTGCACCCCCTTCTTCTGAGGAGCAATTTCAGGGACCTACCTGCTCACATTAGTTAATTCTTAGGGGTAACAGTGTCATCTGGTGGCCAGTCCCTGTAAGCCGAGACACAGGCCGGTGACCTTGGAGGAGGTGAGTCCTTTCCCTGCAGCTTGTAAAGTTACCAGGGAAAAAAGTAGGTGAAAGTAGAGGCTGCTAAACTGAACTCTGCCTCACACAAGTGCCGATATGCAAGTTTAAAAAACATAATCAAAATCTGCTATGACAGACTTAGTCCAGAGTCTATACAGGGCTGTTAAAATGGTGTATCACTCTTTGCTTTGATTCCATCAGCTGTTAGAAAATCATCCAGCCAGGATCTCAGAGTGGCTAATAACTAGTAATTGTGAATCAAGACAGAAATATGCAGGGAAAAAAACACAGAACAAACAAACACCAAACCAACCAACCTAGCCATCTATATATTAAGGTTACAATAATAGTCATTCCTTTTGTCTTTGGATCAGTCTCTATTCTGCTACTGGTAAATCACAGCTTTGGGGATGCAGTAGGTAGCAAAAATTTAGGTGTGGAGCAGAGAAAAACACTATGAAGCCAAAGTACACCATGGTTGTAATGCAGGTCCCAACAATGAGGCAGAAAGCAAAGGGTCTCAAGGAAAAGTCATGCCTAAATAGAGCTTTACCAGGAACGATTTAAGAAGGTAAAATCATAGAATTGTTTTCGTTGGAAAAGACCTTTAAGATCATCAATTCCAACTGTTAACCCAGCACAGCCAAGTCCACCATTAAACCATGTCCAAAAGCAACATGTCCACGTGTCTTTTTACCTAACTCCTGAGATGCAGACTCAACTGCTTCCCTGGACAGCCTGTTCCAGTGCTTGACAACCTTTTTGGTAAAGAAACTTTTCCTAATATACAAGCTAAACCACTACTGGCACAACTTGAGGCCATTTGATACTGCTCCATTGCTTATAACCTGGGAGAAGAGACCAACACCCACCTCACTACAACCTTCTTTCAGGTAGTTGTGGAGAGTGATAAGGCCTCACAGCCTCCTTTTCTCCAAGCTCAGCAACCCCTCAGATGCTCCTCAAAAGGCTTGATCTCCAAACCTTTCATCAGCTTTGTTGCCCTTCTCTGGACATGCTCCGGCACCTTGATGTCTTTCTTGTAGCGAGGGGCCCAAAACTGAACACAGAACCTGCAATGCAGCCTCACCAGTGCAGAGTACAGGGCAATGATCAATTCCAAACTCCTGCTGGCCACACTATTCCTGACACGGGGCAGGACACTGTTGGCCTTCCTAGACACTTGGGCACACTGCTCGCTCATACTCAGCTGGCTGTCAACCAGCACCCTCAGATCCTTTTCCATGGGGCAGCTTTCTAGCCAAGCCTGCATACCCCAAACCCTGCAGCACCAGCAATCCCTAGGAAGATGCTACCCCAAAATCTAAGCAGCTCCCTGCCCTGTCTGCAGGTCCCCCGGGTCCTACTGCCCAGCCAGACACCAGAATGAGCCCTGCTTTCAGGCAGCAGTCTCAGTCTTCAATAAGAAGATTTTTAAGTTGCTTTTGCAGTTCAGTGGGCAAGGGTAAAATGTATGGTTTTATTTAGAGTGCTCCTAAATTAAAGTGCCTCCCCTCAGTCAGACAACCTGCTCACTAGATACCTTAAGCCACAAGACACTGCTACATCACAGAGCCAAAGTCTTATTGAAGTGAATGTTCTGGAAAATCAGGAGTTTCAATGTCACTACTTTTATCCTAATAGCATTTCAGTGACATCATTTACAGTGATTAAGGCTTTGAAATGTGCACATCCTGGTTCAGCTCCACTGGATAATATTGAGTGTTATCTGTGTCACTCTGGCCTTTGACTATTCATAGAGTTTTCCTTTAATGTGGGTTTTGTGGCTTTTGATTTATTATTTTTTTTAATCAAAGCTCTTGCTTTTTAGTCACAGGAGATCAATTTTTAAGTATCCATCTCTCAAGAACAATTTGGGACACAATTAGAAAACAGCTCAATTGTTTCTGAATCAGTACAGGGAATGGCCACTACCATTTTAAAACCTGAATCTCATTTCTGTTGATTATACTGCAATTAGTCACTGTCTCCATGGCTTTCAAAGGGTTTTTTTTTTCCCTTTTAGAAGCAATCAGACTCATTTTTCTAAAGGCTATGCCAACCTCCACTGGCACAGACTTCCAAATTCTGTTTGAACCAAGCCAATTTAATTGACTTCATTTCAGATTAAGCCTGAAGTCTCTCAGTCTGAGCCCTCAGAACACTTATTACAATAATTTGTAATATTAGGAGGAAAAAACACACTGTACAGCAAGGGTCATGGCGAGGCAGGAGCTCTCCTTGAATTTATGGGATTGGCTGGGAGCTCACTTTCCATTTTCTGATCTTTATACAGTGCCCTGCAATACTCAGATAATTACTTTAATAAGGCAGGTAATAAACACTAATAAGTAAATGAAAGCTGAGAGGCTGGTGTTGAAACATCCAATCTAATGCTTTTACATGCACAAAGCCAACAACTGTAAGAGTCACGAGTTCATCTGTCTGACAAAATTGAAGCTCATTATGGGAGAGCTGATTTGGCTTTCCTGTGATACCACAGGCAGAGGAGAGGGACTCGAGGCTGTGAGAATGCTTACTGCCAGGTTTCTGAACCATGTGAAACTGCAGTCATCAAGGAGATTTTTGTGGTGCCATCTAGGTCACAGGCAAATTCTTCTTCTCATTTGTGCTGCAAAGAATATATATTTGGAGGTACTTTGGCTGTTGTTTAGGTCAGGACCCACTTCAGGGTCAGGAGAACATTTAGAGGTTCCCTGAGGTTGGGTGCCAGGAAGAATGAAACATTGCACCATCACTTTATTTCAATCCCTTTTCAAAAACAAGAGAAGATTTGCAGGAGAAGGGATGTATTTATACCCTAGGGTCTGCACTCACTGGGGTAGATCAGACAGAGGGTGGTTGTGTGCCAAGGATTCTTGGTCTCTTGCCTATGGTGACAGACACCCCAATGTGACTGATGCTGTATCTGGGGCAGAACTGGTCACATCAATGGGGGAACTGTGGGGGAAAAGGTTAGGCTGCCTCTATCCAGCCCTCTATAAACTGCTATGATGTTGCACAGCATCTAAGAAAGTTAAATATATGGTTGTAAAAATGACTTCTATGAGTGACTGCCTACCACTGTCATCTCAAAGGCCATTAGAAACACCAGGGCAGAAGCACGACTTGGAGGAGGGAGTAGGAATGTTAGAATTTAAAAATCCAGAGAGTTATGGGGAAACAGTGGGGAACAAGCTCACAGCTCATACTGGCTACTGGCCAGAGGAGCCAAAGCCATGTTTATCCTTCCTCAATGTTGCTTTGTCCTTCAACCCTGCAACTCTGGACACAGAGAGAAAGTGGGCATATATGGCTGGAGGGAGCCTGGCATCTTCATACGCACATTCCCCTGGGAAAGTGAGATGCTTTTATCCAGCTTTCACTACTGTGAAATGGGACACTGAAAGACTGGGGCAGCATTAGAGATGCCTTTGGGGTTTAGACCTGGCCTCATATGAGCTCATCTGCAGCAGAGTAGAATACTGAAGTATGGTCCTTTAAACCTTCTGCTAATAAAAGAGCTGCTGAAAAAATCCTGTTCCTCACCTATCTGAGGCTTTGTAAAGTAGTTTAAAATCAGAAGTAAAGAGGAGCTTCAAATAGCAGAATGACTGATTTGGCTTCCTGTGTTGTTCTTTTAAGAGGAACTAAGTTCCCATGTAAATTGCCAGTATCAGGGGCTGCCAGACTTCCAGGGACACAGGTAGGATGGGGCTTTGCATTCCTAGACATCACATTGCTTGAAGGTTAGTGATGATGAGTGCAAGGCCCTCCAGTATTGCCTCCATCCTGCTCCTTGGGACTGGAGGCAGCAGCCTCGCTCCCTTCCAGCATCACTGCTGCCTGAGAGGCTGTTTCCAATGCTCCAGCTGGCTACTGTAATTTATAAACATATTTTTTGTGGAAAGCTGGTGACACACAACTTCACACAAAAGTTTTCTATGTTTTCCAAGGCAAAAAACCACTGTTGCGTCAAACCTCTGCAGAACTTAGTGCAATGAGAGCCAAGTCCATAAAGCCTTTTAACATCCTACTGCAGTTTTAATCATTAACGATGAATCATTACACACTTGTGACCCCTGCTAGAAGTATTTTTTTTTTAATCTGAAATAGAAAAATCCAAATTATCCACACATTTTCCCAGTGATATGTGACACCTGCCTCTTCGGCCAGACCTGCACCAGGATTTTTCATGCTAGTTCTGAGTCTATCAAATTTATTCCTACTTTATTCCTACTTGATTACCATAGAATAATTTCAGATCAAACAAGATCAGGTTCTTAATTCTGGAGCTGAAATGTAGTATATGTGATTTATAAAATCTGCAATTCATACCTTACCCCACCAGTAGGACTGTGGAATGGGGATGTGGTCAAGGCGGGCTCCAGGAATCCCAGCTCTTCTGTAAGCCTCAGATGTCAAATCGGGGAAATTTCTGTTCAGGTCCAGGTTCTGAGCTGTCTGTCGTCCAATGACCCATCCATTGTAACCAGCTCCCTAATTTGTAAAACAGAAGACAATCTCAGAATAACCACCTGACTCAAAATATCACTGTGGAAATAATTCAAAATGTCATGCCAATCAAGGGGAAGTTTTAAAAGAAGTACACTGAAAAAGTATATACTGTTAAAAAAACACACTTGTTAATAATTTTTTATCCCTGTGGTTACTAAGACACTAACCAGCATGCAGGGAGCATTTCACTCACCAGTGATGTGACTCATGAGAGGAACACAGCAGTTTCTTGCTCCGCACAGAGCAGCATGCAGAGTGGGTTAGCAAAAGGAGAAAAAGAAAATACAGCTGATGCTCCAACGCAAGAATGCAAAAACCTCAGACTCATACAATAGACAGAGCTCAGCATGTGAGCAACACAGAAGAAAAAGGTCCTGTATTCATGCTAATAAAAATGGTGCCAGTGATAAAAGTGAGGTGAAAAGAATGCCAGGTAACACATAACAGAACTTTTGCTTTCACAAGCATCCTTTAGACACCAGCTGGTATCTGAAAGCTGCCATCCATTATTAAAGTATCATAGGACAGAAAATATTAACCTTTTATTATACCTGCTCTTCTACAAGAGGAAGAATAGTTATTCCACAGTACTAAATTACATTTCTGTATCAAATAATATAACAGTCATTAAAGTGAGTCAGTGGCCATTTTGTTCTAGAACTGACAAAAGAGAGTGTTAAATGTGTGAAAAAGTAACAGTGATTCCCACGTCATCGCATGCAGGCAGCAAAAATGATAATAATTGCTCTGATTTCCTCTTAGCTCTGTTCACATCATCTTTGGAAAGCAACCTACTACCAAGCCAGCCTGGGATTCTGGCTGCCCATTATTAATGCTCCCTCCCACTTGACACTCCCCTCCAAGTTTGTCCTTTCTCATGGAAGATATTAGAAACAAGAAGCACTGAACAATTCCTTATAAAAAGTTTTTTACCTCTTCTGCAGCCAGTTCATACCCATCAGGGTTGAGTGAAGGTAGGAGATGAATTCTGGTGTTATTAATCAAGGTCTGGATGCGAGGATTCCCAAGAAGATACTCGGAACACAGATACTGTGCAAGGTATATTAGCAGTTCTTTCCCCACAACTTCATTTCCATGCATATTGCCAATGTACTTAAATTCTGGCTTGACTGTGGGATATGAAGTAATAAGATGCTTCAATATGATTATACCCGGACAGCTTCCAAAAGCAGAGTGACCCAAATAGCTTACTGATGAGTTAGAAAGTTTTATTTACAGGAATTTAATGCATACATTCCTGTAAACAGCATACCAGTTCCAGGTGAATTTCTCTCCATTACGAGTCAGTTCAGTGACAAATTAAACGGTGTGAAATAAATTAAGTCCATACTTTCAGGATCCCAAACTATAAGAGGCAGTTGCTGCTCTGAGCTTTTGCTGGACTCATCATTAGTTGTGAACAAAGAATGCTGCATACAGAAATGTCAGGCCATGGCTGGGAAGGAACAAAATACTCCCCTGGCACTTTCACTTACCTTGAGCAGCTTCAATGCCTTATATTGTCACAGATCCTAGAATGACCTGCAGATGTGTAATATATTACCCCTCTGTTTGGAAGATAAATTAAGTCGTGCATAAAAAGTGGCTTTTAGGCTAAATAGCCTTCAAATAAAATTGTTAGAAACACATAACTTCACAATTCCCCAGAGTTATTCTCTCAGTTTCCATCCTTCCTTAGAGATGAATACAAAGTAGAAAATAGATTCGCTTTGGAGACACCCTTTCTTGTCTATCCTTTCATCTTTGTCTTTGATCCCAGCCAGCCCTGAGCACTAGACACTGAAGGAGGACTGGCACAGACCTATTATGCCAGCTTGCTCAGGCTGGCAAAATCTCCGGCTGTAGAGCTATTTTCACCCTCTTTTGTGATGTTCTGAGCAGCATGAAGCAACAGATTTAGAAGGAAATGCTAGGTAATGTGTTAAATTACCGTATTTCATCATGCCGTATTACTATTTTAATTTAAAAGCCTAACTCATAGGCCATGTGACTTCCTGACAAATGGAGAATTAGCTTTAAAATGACACATGCAACTTATTTTCTTTACACAAGACAGGAAGGATGAATGGCTAGGAAACCTAGTAATCTAGTAATGTAGATCTTCACTATAGTAAAGAAGTCTATCTGGATCTTGATGAAGTTTAAAGGCACCTCAAAATATCTCTACAAGTCTATAGAGATATTTTGCAAGACAGCTTGGCTGAGAGTAAACAAAGCTACAACCAGAGTTTATTGTCTTCTCTGACGAGGAGTAACTTGAGGCTCCTGATGTGCAGCAATGGCCATAGCCACTAGATGTAGTTACATACAATATTGGAGCTGGGAGCTGATAACTGAAAAATTATACTTATTACTCCCCAGTAAATTGTTCTGTATTTTGAAGAATCTAGAACCTAAAAAAATCTGGCCCTTGTCATCTCAGTGATGAATCTGCGAAACAGGGAACATCACTCTTCTCCTTTGCAGTAAAGTTCTGAGGACTCATATCCTAAATGTACTCAGATGCTGTGATGTCACAACATAAATTCCTGGTATTGTTCACCTGTTACACTGGCAGGTATTGTACTGACTTGAATCTCTGGTCAGGAGGATTTTTTTATGTGCTGCATTGCCCTTTTCTGATGTCAATGTCCTTCTGTTTCTGAGGTCTTCTCACAAGGTGTACATATTTTAGGATGTGAAGGACCATGTTCAGACTGGGCACAGGCATTTTTTGGGGGAAGTGTGTAGGGTTTGACAGTACAGTGATAAATCAGAGGAGACTGAGGAAGTGACAGATGATGGAGAGGGCAGGTCAGTAAATTATCCAAACATCTTTCTACTCTGGGCACAAATAAATAATAGCCATAACACTGCAACCAGATACATGGTCAGGCATGTAGGAACACGGAACGTCAAAGATGGTCATAAACTGAGGTAATAAAATTAGGAAATTACAACCAGACTGTAATTCCTGCAGTGAATCATCAGCTATCGCTATCATTCAGGAACACAAAGGAGGAGAAATGCTTTTGAATTAGTGCTTTTTACAGTGTAAGTGATATCCCATTAACCTGCTTTCATTCAGATGGATAATCTGGTGTTCCCTCAAGCAACCTGATCAACACTGATGTAACTCACGCAGTTCATGGTGTCCAGGCTTGGTTGAAAACTCAATCACAAAAAGATCCTTCCCATCAAAACTGCGACCTATGCTGTAAGTTGTTGCAATATGGGAGCACTTCGAGGCAGTCTTCTTCAGTGTGCTCACCATTTGGGAGTACGAATGGTGTTTGAACTGAATAAAAGTTGCTGGCAAGTCCGAAGGTAAATCTTCCTCAACATCTACTTGTCCTGCAAAGGCAAATTGTAACACAGTGTTTAAAACGATGGTGCTCAGAGGACTGTCTGAATGCCTGTACTTTCCCACAAAATAACTTTTTCAGTAGTAGAATTATAGAAAATACAGCTGCAATGACAACCTTAAATCTATGTAGTACATCCTACACTGTTTATTGTAGTATCGTTTCTTTGCAAAAGATGCATACGCACACTGAGAGATAATTTCAGTAATAATTTGGCCTTTAGCATACTTAGCACATTTTAATCACGAAATGTATAGAATTTTCTCTGAGCCTGGTGAATCAAATTCATTTTTTTATGAAATTCATCTGTCTTCAGCTATCTGGATCTGCTTCATCAAAACAAAAATCTGTCACAATCACTAATGAGATTATTTTAATGAGCTGTTAGCTTGTCAGTCATGAATTTACAAGTGCATTAAAGTTTCAGTTTTAAAATGAAATGTTTTAAATATACAGACCACTATCACACATAGCAGGCTTATCTAAATGTACATTGGCAGCCCAAACACCTAGAGAAACAGATGCTTCTTGAGCACAGTTCAATTAAGTGTTTAAAATAGGTGGAACAAAATGAATCACAGATGTCTATGCCTAGAAAGACAACAAGCTGAGGTGACAAGCGGAGAAGTTTTGTGCCATAGACTTGTCAAGCTGAGTGAGATGAGACCCTTTCCATGCAGAGGGCTAAGATGTGTCAGCAGAGCTTCCTTCCTTACCTCGCAGCTTTGCCAGTGGGTCGAAACATCCCTCTTCTTCCCCCGCGAAAAAGCGGTCACAGTCTAAGAAGTAGGGCCAAGCCATGTCTATTGCATCAAAAGCAGGGAGGCAATTTTTTTTCAGGTTTTCACAGACGTGCCTGCAGGGCTTTCTAACTTTGTCCTTTTCACACTGTGGGGCCAGCACTGAGCAGCCCAGGAGCCTCAGATCGGGATTACATTCCCCCTGGAGCAAGTTGTGCAGCACACTGATGAGAATGTACTCAGAGCTGTACTCGATCACTTCCCGAGACTTCTGATCCAGAAAATTAGGATACATCATCTGAGTATAGGTAACATCAGTACAAGAACTTAAGGCAATGTCCACACATTTTGCTGTGAAAGGGAGATGAACACATGAAATATGACTTGCTCCATCAACATGCTGATAGTTTAAAGACAGCCTGAAACAGTAACTCGTTCAACAAACTTTGTTGTTGTTCACAGATAGACTGGTGGCAGTTTGAAATACTGTCAAATGGATTTGGTGTCTTAAACCACTCATAGAAAAATGATAGAAAATATACTTGGTCTGGAGATTGGCTGCAAACAGCTTAATGCAAGAAGATGTCGTTCAGAAGTCAATTGTTATCTGACAATTTGATGGGGCATCAGGGGCTATCTGACTGATAAGCATGGATCCTAAGTTAAGATTTCTTTTGCTAATCAATACCTGAACAGCAATGAAAGAGGAAATTCCTGGCCAGAAAACACTGGAGTGCCCAGCTCACAAGGGAATTCATGTAACAAATAGCTTGGAAACCATCAAAGTTAATAAAGCTTGGCTTCCAAAGGAAAGGCTGTCTCATACTCAATTAAATCTTACCTGATTTAAATTAAGAATACTGTCAGAGCTTATTAAATACCAGAGAATCCATAAGAGAGAAAAATACCCTGTTGAGGTGTGAATTTCCTTGTGTCTAGTGTGGGAAAATCTCAGATTCCTGAATAAAGTGTGTTTGCAATATCACTCTTTGCCCTGTCCTTGCCTTTTGGTACGGAATCACTGGTGAGGTGTGAGATCACATAGGTGTGTTTTTTTTCCTGAATGGGGAAGGTATCAGTAAGATATCTCTCTTCTTTGCTTGGCCACACAAAATCCGCAAGACTTTAGTATCTCTGAAACTGCAGCCCTTTTGTGAAGTTTGATTTAAATTGCCCAAAGTGTTAAAAAGTTGTGATGGGACTTGATTCATAGGCAAGCAGACACAGAAATGTGCTTATTCATATATATTCATAAGCATAATACACGTTAAGAAACCAGGTATAGTGGTGTTAGGAAGGATAAATGTTGGTAATATCTATCTTCAACCTACTCAGATGTGAAAAGGAAGTAATCAAGAGATGTCTCATCACAAAATTACTGACTATTACAGTTGGAGCTTGCTTCTCTTGCTAATGTCTCTGGCTGGTAACAAATACCACTGTCACAGCAGCAAAATTCTAACTTGAATGAAAGAAATAATTTCTCTAGTAACAAGACCTGCTATAGTACCAACATTAGAAAACTTGTCAGGAAATAATAAAGAAATACTTAAGGTTTTGAGATTCTCCAGTACAGCCAGCAAAGGCACATCATACCTTTCTGTCCAGTTTGGCATTGACCTGCAAATAAAGAAAAAAAAAAAAAAAAAAAAAGCAATATGGACAGATATCCACAGTGTCTCATGTTAGGAGTTGTCCTATCTAGTGGGCTCTACGCCCTGATGTCTGGCCATACCAGGGACAAACACGTATTCCCCACAGGCACATATCACATCAAAGTACAAAGACAAAACACAACACAGGCAAACACAGCCAGCACCAAAATGTCATCCTGCTTCCCTTTCTGGCTAATCAGGATGAAAGACCTTTGATAGAAAAGAAGTACAGGTGGAGCCCTCCAGTAGTTCTGCTTAGACACATTGGAACCCCAGTAGGTAGGCTTAGTTTACCCCGTATCTGAGCACTGGATCCACTAATGTCCGAGATGTCTCATGTGCTGACACATATGCTGGTCTCTCTGGTAGCCAGGCCAGACCTGGGGTCTCACTGATAGCCAAGTCCCAGACACTGTGGGCTTCCCAATAGCTTGCTTAAACCTCCTGGTTCCTCCACTATTAAACTCTGAGACCCTCTGCTCTCTTCAGTATCTAGCCCAGGATCACAGCTGCTCAAATACCCAGTTCCCAAATCTTTTCTTCTGTCCACTGATAGTCCAGCTTGATGTGTCTTAGCAACTGCACATGCTGACATGCACACACAAGGCACATGCACTCTGGTCCCTCCATCTGCAACCCAGACACATAAAGTCCTCTGATTCATGGTCTCACACCAGTTGCTGGCATATGGAGCCCCATACAGTCCCATCCAAACACACACAAAAAAAGAGAGACTCTCACCCAGGCAAAGAGCTGGAAACAAAGTTTAATAAGACAGGACAGACTGCAGGGATCAGGGGAAGGGGATGGCCAGACAAGTGCACTAATCAGTCACTCTTCATTCAGCTTTAAAAAAGGAAGACTTGACAATGTATCTGAAGTGTGGTTGTGTAAGAAATCAAGACTATGTTTGAAAAAGATGTTGAGCTGCTCAGCCTTGACAACTTGATGATATTTCTAAGTATGCTTAAAAACTGTAAGTTAGGTGCCTAGCAAATTTCACTAATGAAAATGTAAGTCTTTAATAGTCTGGCTTAGTCTTAAAGTTCATGTGAGTACTTCTCTGTATGGCAAGATGCCTTATGGATCTTCTCCTAACAAATCTATTGGTCCCACATAATACTGTGCATATTATTCTCGTATTCTTGTATTCATCTTATCTCTAACAACTGCATTTTATAATCCTTTTAATAACATCTCAAAACTAATTATTTCCCTCCTCAACTACTCTCATGGGAAAGCTCTTCCAAAAACTCATTCCTCTAATGGCTAGAAATTACCTTTTAATTTCCTTCCTACAAGTATTTTGGCCAGCTTATGTGTTGTTGTGCCAGCTTTGTCCTGCAGTTTAATTAGCTGTCTGCACTCCCTGGTGTATGCCTTTATTCTGTTTGCAGAGAGTAATCATATCGCCTTAGTTTTCTGTTTACTAGGTCAAATAAACCAAGCTCTCTTGATTTTGAAGGAATGTGGTTTGATGACCCAGCAGAGGCCTCTTTTGCTCCTGTAGTTAATGATTCTCTATTGCCTTTCTCCAAGACTGGCAGCTAAATAAAAATATTGTTGCTCTCAACAGTGCTTCATAGGAGCTTAACTGTTAGGTGAAAGCTTTTTAAACACCAATGGGGCTGTTTTCCTTGTGATTTATTTGGGCTCTAGCTATGTTGCTGTTTCTTCTAACTCTTACTGGGGGGGACAGACATCTAGCATCACTCAGTAATTGAACATTTGTCCTCATAAGACCAAATCCATTATGTTTTCTTTTTTTTTTTTTTCCCACTAAGGAAAATTTAAACTTCTACTTCCAGCACATTTGTTTAAATGTAATTTTCTGCACACATGTTGCTAATGAATTGATCATTCTTTAACCAAAATAAAATAACAATAATGAGAACAAAATTAACCTTGGGATTTGATCTTGGAGAGAGACATTTAATTTTATATTAATCTGGTTCTATATTATGAATTGTCATTGATCCACATTACCTCATAAAATAAATGAGGGATCAGAACTAGCAGAAACAGCTCATCTCCAACACCAGCACATCCTGGTAACCAGCAAGCTGGAGCAAAATACATCTATACAAACTCCTTTCCTCACTTGGTACCTTCTGCTAATAGCAATAAACCACACCTGGTTCATCAACAATGCCTTCCACCACGGGATTTGTGTGTTTCCCTTAATGAGGCACAATCCCCTCAGTGACATAGTTATTAAGGTCAAAGCATTTCTAAAAAAGCTTCATCTCAGTCAGATAGTGCATGTAGTTTTACATATGGGGATAATCAAAGAAGTTTTGTACAATGTTAGCAGAGAAAGCAAAGGGAGTGATTGTTTTTAGTAAGAGCTCCAACAATTAATCCTCTAGATAAAACTGGATGTCACTTCCTCCCTGAATCTGGATAGTCTTATATCCCAATGCCAACACACTCACAACTTGTGAGGCCTTGGACAAAAGTCTGGAGCCAGCTAAATGTTCCATACAGAGGGGAAAACTTGATATGGATGGGACTGGCTTGAGTTCAGCCACGTCCCAGCAAGCAGAATGACACTAACTCTGGTCATCACTGGTTCATTAGCAATGAATCTCCTTCATGGATGGTTAAGAAATATTTGTCACTTCTTTTCTCCTCAGCATGAAATTACTGCATTGTAGCTATTATTTCAGGCTAGAGGGCCATGTGTGTTGAGAGCAGTTCTTCATGTGTTCATTTGGGGAAAAGAAATGCTCATGTTTCCTTAAAGGTAAGAGTGATTTTCCACTTTTGCTTGCTCCATGGCCAAGAAACAAATATGCTTTTTGTTTGTCTCTCTGACATGCACTGAGCAGATAACAAAACTGAGGCACACACCACCTTCCAGACTGCTATTGCCATGCAGGAGTGCTATAGCCATCAGTCAGTTTGATACGTGGCACAAAACTGTTCCCAATGGTGTCTCAGTATTCTGCTTATTCAGCTGGAGCAGAAAGGTATCCTGGCAACATGCTGGAACAAGCAGAGGAAACTGAAGGGAAAATATGGCAGGCAGGGTCTGGGCACGGTGCTGCTGCTTCCCCCTGCTCTGAGCAGCAACAACTTTTGCTGCATTTAGCAGACACATCTTTCTGCCCATTTGGCCAGAAGAGATGTTGGGACGCAATGGACAGCTGATGGAAGAGACCTATAAAACTCTGAAAGTTATATGCTGCAGCTGGGTTCACAAGAGGACTGAATTGCTTTGTGAGCAGGAGTAGGTGGTAACACAGGAGAGGTAAGGACAGCTCTGGTTTCAGACTGTATGCTACTTGGCTTTTACATTTTGTTATTTTACCATATCTTCAGGGAGAGGCAATCTATTAAGCAACATGGCTATTACTCATTAGCAAAGATGCTGGCTGAAGAAGACAGATTTATTTTTTAGATAAGGAACCTGAATCCATAAAAAACTTTCATATAGCAATTGAAGTTGTTAATGGCTTTATGTGATAAGCAGAGGTGATTCATCAAAGGATGAAGCTTTTCAACTACTTTTGGTCCAGGATGTCCCTCACAAGCTCAGAGCTACCAAAACTCCTTCATTGACTAGCAGCTAAACTGACTCCTTCGTCCTGGGTCTCCAACCTAGATCTAAGTCTAAACTTAGACCTAAGCCTCACATTTTTGCAGCATGCCATTCTGTTTTCTCCCTGTCGCTCTGTTAGAGGTTTCTATTGAGCTGCTTCTGCTGCCTCAGAGGCCAGTTCTGCCCAAACTGTAGCACCTCTCCCCACCACAACCCCCTGCAAGCTGCCACATGAGCCATACATCAGCCAGGGCTCTGTCACACTAACACCCAGGAGCGAGGCAGCTTTAGCTTTCAGGTTATCAGGACTTAATATACATAAAAGCAAGAGAGAAAAGGTCTGGTTCATACTAGATCTTGCTTTACAGTGAGTCTTAAATGTGTGCTGATGTGGTGCTTGGACTTCTCCTATGGTTCCTAAAGCCAATGCTTGCATATGTTTTGGAGGTCACGGCTCTGCAAGGGCCAAAGATAATTCTCCAGTGTGTGTACTTACATAAATAAGTGTGGATGCACGTAGCTGGGCCAGAGCAGGAACCTCTCCAAGGCCAGCTCCGGAGCTGCAGCTGCACACCCTGCTCCTGCAGCCCTGCACCCCAGGGCTGAGACCCTGAGCACCAAAATGAGCAGCAAATCCCTGTCCCCACCCCTCACAACTCATGTTGTGGAAGCTCCAGCAATGCAAGCCAGTTCAGCCACTCCCTTCCTCTTTTTTTCATAAGAGGAATGATGGGCAATGATACCCAGATTTTCACAGGACTCCCAGTTAACTTGGCAGGCTTCAAGTGCTGCTTCTTGTGTGCTTGAAAGAGGCTAAACCTCATCTTTTCTTGAGCAGAGGCTTCCCTAGGCTCAGAGGAAGAGAGTGCTGCATCCTCTCATAGTCCCATCTGCCGACAGGTTGGTACAGAGCGGCCCTTTTCTTCCTGACCCAGAACAGCCTTTTCAATTTTTTATGTTTATTTTTGTACTGCAGCTATGCCATCAGAGCTACAAAAGCCCTTTCAGTAGCACAGCTTCTATTTAAGATTCTGGATAAAATAACTTATTGAAGAGCAGAAAAGCCATTTCAAGCTTTCTGAGCCCACTTTATAATATACACTTCTGGTTTTAATTTGTAAAGGCAAGCTTGAAAAGCTACAATGCAGCACATACATATTTTACTGCCAAGCTTACATTTTTTTCCCCTTGATGATTCAGCACTGAAAGAAGCAAGCTGCTGTGATTAACCCTAACCCAGACAATAGAGCTCAACAGCTACTTCCAGTGCCATGGCTTGGCTGGGTGCCTGTTGGAGAGCAAAGCCAACAAGAGACTTGTGCACTTGAGGATATGGACTAAGACCAAGGTCCATTCTTAAATCCAAAATATCTAAATCATTCAGTGAGGCTTACACAATCACAATGTTATGACTGACCTAT